TGTTTGGGGTTAAATATTTAGATTTTTTTTCTTGTCTCATAATGTCACGCCAGAGTCACATTGCAAAGTAAGTCAGGATATAGAGGGCAAATAAAACCTATGTGATGAGAATTTATGGTTTGTAGGACATGACTTCCCAGGCCCCTTAGACAGGAAATTGAGCAAGATAAAAAAAAAAAAAAAATCAGAGCTTGGTCCTGTGTCCCAGACACTGCTTTAAAAACGCTGAGAGTGTTAACTCATTTGATCCCTTTCACAACCCACAGTGGCATCCTCATTATGAACACTGAGCCACAAAGAAAACTTCCTTTGAATCTTGCCATGTTTTGGAGGCAGCAGAAGGCTTTCCCTGACCTCTGGTCTGGGATCCGTCGCCACCTGTATGTCCCAGAGGATCCTGTGCTTCCCAGGCCCATACATTCATCAGGATTTAGCACCATTACTTATGTCCGGGTGTTGATTTACAATGACCAACTTCTGCAAGAATAGAACCACTTCTTTTTCTCTTTAAATCTAGCCTTACCTAATTCTGACATCCTATTCTGCCAGGCTGATGAGAACTCCAGATTTATACATTTGGGGAACCCCCTCCCCAAGGGTCCAGGGTCATCTGAGGGTGGTCTCTGGGGTCTTTGGCAGAGGTTTTGGAGGAGAACGTCCAGTCCTCGCTGCTCACTGCTGATTAGCTCACAGGGAAGCTCAGTCACCAAGGGAACCTCCCTCTCCACCTGTCCAGGACACCAGCATCATTTCCTCAGGGAGCCTAAGCTTTCACAAGGCAGAAGATGTCTTTCTCCCAGGAAGAGACATCTTCCCGAGGTGAAGTCCTGCTGGGTCTGTCCCGAAGACCCTGACCGACTGATGGATGAAATGAGTACTCAGACACAGGTACACAGTGTGAGAGCATCAAGGTGACTGCCTGGCTCCAGCAGTCAGAGAGGCAGCCCCGAGAAGCTGGAGCTGCTGCTTGCTTTCATTCAGTGTAGGCACAATGCCAAAAACCTGGAGCAAAGCAACCTGCAGGTAATTCACATCTACCTTCCAGGAACATCACCTGCGGAGGATCACGGGTCAGTTCCTGGTCAAATAAGTAAACAAGCCTATTTAAGATACATTCCTCTACGCTCCCTGCTCCCTCGTATGGGACTCCTTGCCCTCTGCCTCAGGGACAGAGAACAGCAGCTGCCTTCAGCTACTCTTCCCCTGGGGCTCTGCAAAACTTTCCAACTTTCAGAAGATTCTATATAGTTTTCCCCAACACTCTGACCGACCCCCACAAAGGACAACAAACCCTGGGTCTGATTAAACATCAAAGCACACATAGCAGCCTTTATTCTGCTTATGCACAGCCAGGAAAAGAAAGGGCACAGTGACTGACTAGCCTTCCACTCCCGCTTAGCTGAAGTCAGCCTTCTTCATGAACCATGCCGCCTCCTTCCCCTCCGCAGCCCCCAGGGCCTAGCAGCACAGGCAACTCCAAAAGCGCACCTCCAATGGAATGATGGGGGAGCGAATCTCCGGAAGGCAGCTAAGGCCGTTATGTTTTCTATTAATTCACCTCTGAGTTGGGACAAAAGTAATGTGGCCTTTTGGGTGGGTGTGAGCTTGGGCCCTTGGAGGACGTGGATTTATAGCTCAAGTTAGGAGACAAATATTAAGTAACAGGTAATACTTCCTTCTTGCCTGACCCGGGCAAGCTTTTAACTCTGTGCCCATTCAGGTTATTTGGTCACTCAACGTTCCTTTTGTTTTTCTTTCTTATTTTTTTGGAAACAGTCTCGCTTTGTTGCCCAGGCTGGAGTGCAGTAGTGGCAGTAGCGTGATCTTGGCTTACTGCAGCCTCTGCCTCACAGGTTCAAACGATTCTCGAGCCTCCGCCTCCTGAGTAGCTGGGATCACAGGTCTGTGCCACCACAGCTGGTTAATTTTTGTATTTTTAGTAGAGATGGGGTTTTACCATGTTTTTTTAGAGGTGATTATTTCTTAAGCATGAAGTGCTTTCCCCGCAGCGTGTACAAGCCAGATCTTGCCTGCCTCTCTGACTCACTTCCTAGCGCTGGCCACACACTCTCTACATTTCAGTGACCCTGGCTCCCTTCCTGCTTCTCACACAGTTCAAGCTTCCTCCAGTCCAGGGCCTGTGTTCTCGCTATTATTCCTTCCTGCGACCCTTCCTCCAGATCTCAGTGATGGCCTCTTTTCCATCTTAGCTTCAATGTCATCTCCTGAGACAGACTCCGGGACCACCCAATATCTAAAGCATCCCACCCAATCATCATGCCTCTCAATCACTTTATCTAGTTTTTTCAGAGGCTTCTGAACCAGAGCAACTCTATCTTGAATAGGGGCTGGGTAAAAGGAGGTTAAGACCTACTGGGTTGCATTCACAGATGGTGAAGGCAATTCTAAGTCACAGAATGAGGTAGGAGGTTGGCCCAAGATGCAAGGCAATAAAGACCCTGCTGATAAAACAGTTCTCAGTAAGGAAGCCGGCCAAGACCCACCAAATCCAAGATGGCAACGAGAGTGACCTCTGATTGTCCTCACTGCTACACTCCCACCAGCGCCATGACAGTTTACAAATGCCATGGCAACATCAGGAAGTTACCCTATATGCTCTAGCAAGGGGAGGCGTGAATAATCCACCCCTTGTTTAGCATATCATCAAGAAATAACCATAAACATGGGCAACTAAGGCCAAACTTGTTATCCTAGCATTCTGGGAGGCTGAGGTGGGAGGATCATCTGAGGTCAGGAGTTCAAGATCCACCTGGCTAACATGGCGAAACCCTGCCTCTACTAAAAATGTAAAAATGAGCCAGGTGTGGTGGCGCACGCCTGTAATCCCAGCTACTCAGAGGCTAATTGCTGGAACCCAGGAGGCAGAGGTTGCAACGAGCCAAGATCCCATCATTGTACGGCAGCCTGGGCAAAAGAGTGAAACTCCATCTCAAAAAAACAAACAAAAAAAGAGGGCAGCCAGCAGCCTTCGGGGCTGCTCTGTGGAGTAGCCATTCTTTTATTCCTCTGTTTTCTTAATAAACTTGCTTTCACTTTATTCTGAGGACTCACCCTGAGCTCTTGTGTGAGATCCAAGAACCCTCTCTTGGGGTCTGGATTGGGACCCCTTTCCGGTAACAGTTTTGCTTTTTTATTTTTTGAGTCTCAATCTGCCACCCAGGCTGGAGTTCAATGGTGCAATGTCAGTTAACTGCAGCCTCCACCTCCGGGGCTCAAACCTTCTCCTGAGTAGCTGGGGCCACAGGCATACACGCCAGCTAATTTTTAAATGACTTTTTGTAGAGATAAGGGTTTCGCCATGTTGCCCAGGCTGGTCTTTAAATCCTGGGCTCAAGGGATCTTCCTATCTCAGCATCCCAAAGTGCTGGGATCACAGGCGTGTGCCCCGCACCTGGCTTGGGTGCTGGTGGTGGTGGTTGCTGAGATGGAGTCTCACTGTTGCCCAGGCAGGAGTGCACTGGTGCAGCGGCATGATCCTGGCTCAATCAACTCACTGCAACCTCTGCTTCCCATGTTCAAGCAGTTCTCCTGCCTCAACCTTCTAGTTTTGCTTTCTTAATAGTACCAATTCCTATATGAAATCACCTCCTTCATTCCTCTCCTGCACTGGGATGTGGTCCATCCAACAGAGCCACGACCACAAAGGGCTCCTCACTGCTAGACCCAAGCAGAGCATCACTGACATATGTCATAGAAACCTGCACTATGAAATCTGAATGTAAACTTTCCAGCAAACTTCAGAAAACTGAGGTTGCCCCTCTTGGTCATTTCTGCTTATGATCTTTAGGATAAACTAGCTGAAAGGGGCATTAAAATGTGGGTGAAGTCTCAATTGCTCATTTTAATGATGAGGAGGCCAGGCATGGTGGCTCATGCCTGTCAACCCAGCACTGTGGGAGGCTGAGGCACATGGATAACCTGAAGTCAGGAGTTCGAGACGAGCCTGCCTGGCCAACACGGTGAATCCCCATCTCTAGTAAAAATACAAAAACTAGCCAGCTGTGGTGGTGCGCCCCTGTGGTCCCGGCTACTCCGGAGGCTGAGGCAGGAGAATCACTTGAACCTGGAAGGCGGAGGTTGTAGTGAGCGGAGATTGCATCACTGCACTGCTGCCTGGGCAACAGGTGACTCCATTAAAAAAAATGATGAAGAAACAGGCCCACAAAGGGTGAGTAAATCGGGAAATTTCATGAAGCAAGTCTGTTTTTCTTAACACACACACACACACACACACACACACACACACACACACGCTGCTTCTGTTAAGCTGCAGAGTCTAATCCTGGCACTCCCCAGGCTTCCCTCCCGAAGGTGTTTATCCGGCTAATACAGGCCGAGCGCCCGCAGGGCAGGCGGGAGGCGGCAGGATTAACGCGGCAGCTCCGTCCCCGGGCCCCCGGGCTTGCGTTCCAGTGACCAGAACACCCATCAACAAGTAAATAAAATAACGCAAGATAATGGCAGAAAAGGACCAGTGTGAAGGAGCTGACCAGCCAGGAAGACGGGAATAGAATAGAGAGGGTGGAGGGGAGGAGGGGCAGGGACTTCGCCGGGCAGGACCCCGGACGCCGGCACACAGCCGAGCCCAAACCACGAGGGCAGGGCTGGCACCGCCGCCCCGGCCTGGAAACGCGTCCCCGCCCGCAGCTCCTCGAGCCCGGCTCCGCATCCCTGCGGATCCCGCCCCCTCCCGCTTCTGCAGCGAGGCCTCCCCGGGTCCTCTGCGGGCCACCCCGCGCCCGTGCACCTGCTCGGTCTCCACCGGGAAGTGCGAGGCCAACGCGCCGGCCGCTCAGACACCCGGGGACACGCGCGCCCGGCGGGAGGCACCGACCCCCGCGCGCCGGGCAGAGGCACCGGCCTGTCCGTTTGCGCGCGCGGCTCGGGGAGGCCCCGGCGCTGCTGGAGGGGGCCTGGCCGAGCGCCCAGCTTCCCCACCCCCCGCCCCTGGCTTCGCAGGCCCCTGCGCCCGCACCTACCGGACGCGCTGGGCCGTGACCGCGTTCCCCGTGTGCGGCCGCAGCACCGCCAGGAGCAGGAGCCGCATGCCGCCCCCGCTGTCCGGGACATTGACCAGGTCCCAGGGACGGCACAGACGCGGTTGGCAGGGGAGCCTAGCGGCTAAGTCCGTCCCGCCCGCCCCTCCCGGAGGCCGCGCCCGCCCCTCCCCGAGGCCGCACCGGAACTCGCAGGTTCCGGCGCCAGGCGGGGAGGGGGACTGGAACCGGGGGCTTCTGGCGGCGCGAGCTCTGGGTGCCGGGCGGCGCGGGTGTGCCCCGGGGGGTCCATCACCAGGGTAGCTGCAGTCGGCTCCCACCTGGACCAGGACCACAGGACCAGCGGTGACCACAGTCCTTTCAACGAGGACCAGGACCAGCGCTGACCACTGTCCCTTCCCACGGGGACCAGGACCAGCTCTGATCACTCTCCCTTCCCATGGGGCCCAGGACCAGCGGTGACCACAGTCCTTTCCCATGGTGAACTAGGACTGGCAGTCACCACAGTCCCTCCTATGAAGACAATGACCAGTGGTGACCACAGACCATTCCCACGGGGACCAGGACCAGTGGTGACCACTGTCCCTTCCCAAGGGGACCAGGACCAGGAATGACCACTGTCCCTCCCCATAGTGACCAGGATCAGGAATGGCATGGTCCCTTCCATGGTGACCAGGACCAGCAGTGACCACAGTCCCTTTCCATGGAAACCAGTGATGGCCATGAGTGAACTTCACGGAGCACCCAGATGGCTGTGGGTCTGTGCCCACCAGGACCAGCAGAGACCTCGGATTCCCTCCCACAGGGTGCTGCAGAGAGAGCTCTCAGCCTCATTTTCCATGACAACCTGAGGGGAGCCTTGGTCCCCACGAAGCCCAGGAATCCTTTCTAGTCCCAAATTCCTTCCCAGGCCAGACTACCCTAAAACAAACCAGAGGAGGGGAACTCCTCCTGTGTGAGCAGACAGTGGAAACCCATTTCAGGGCCACGCCTGTGGGTGAGAAAGATGTTGGATCGGGAACTCGGGGCTCATCAGGGCACATGGGCTGCACCTGGACTGGATCTCCAAAGCAGGACACCTTGGGTGAGAGAAATGGGGAACTGAAGGTGGCCCCTGGCAAAATGCCATCTGTGGATTTAAACATGGACCCCCCCCCCCAAAACAGATGCTAAGTGTTTACAAAGATGCATGCGTATTTACAGATGTGGAACATTCCATTGGGTGCCCAATATTTTGATTTACCTTCAAACTTGATTTTCTCTCATCCCCCAAATACCTTCCAACCTCAAAAAGGGAAAGTAGGAATGAAGAAAGCCATGACATGCCATGACCACCATCAGCGGGAGGTCTCCAGCCTCGCCATGCGGCATGGTCATCCCCAGACTTATGAAAACATAAAAGTCAGTCCTGAGGGACACACGGGCTCAGCAGGCCTTCTCCCACTTAGAGCCGCCACTCTGAGTCTCAGTGTGGCATGGAGTATGGGAGAGTTTTATGTCCCTGTAGAGCGATCAGGGCTCAGCAGGCCTTCTCCCACTTAGAGCCGCCACTCTGAGTCTCAGTGTGGCATGGAGTATGGGAGAGTTTTATGTCACTGTAGAGCAATCAGAATTATGTCCCTTTCTCAGTCCTCAAAACCCAGGATTTTGCTCTTCGTCCTGGTATTTCAGCTTCCCAGGCACCTGGCAGGCAGGCCACCTCCCCTTTTAAGGGCAAAAGCAATATGAAAATAATATCATTCTTCTAGACAACTTAACGCTTTTCAACAGAATTACACAAAGAAACAAGAAAGGGGACACGTTGCACAGGGCTGCCACAACCCCCTTCTGATGAAAGTTTAGAATTAGAGTTTTGGGCGTGGTGGCTCACGCCTATAATTCCAGCACTTTGGGAGGCCAAGGTGGGTGGATCATTTGAGAGCAAGAGTTCAAGATCAGTCTGGCCAAGATGGCGAAACCCCATCTATACCAAAAATACAAAAATTAGCTGGGCGTGGTCATACATGCTAGCAGTCCTAGGTACTTGGGAGGCTGAGACATGAGAACCATCTGAACCTGGGAGGCGGAGGTTGTAGTGAACCATGATCATGCCACTGCACTCCAGCCTCGAAATAAAGCGAGGCTCGGTCATAAACAAATGGTTTTGAGTAGACTCCTGATATATTTGCTGTACACCAAGAAGAGGCAATAAAATGCAGTGTCTGGTGTGGGGTGCAGAAGGACAGGGCTGGCACTTGCCCATGTTCTTCCCCTATTTCACCTTGACCATGGGATATTAAAAGCTAAATGTGAACAGCTACATTTCTGATTTTCAAAGGTGACTTCAGCAGGAGCCTGGAAAGGAACCTCCCTAAGCAGAATTGCTGAGCTGCAGCCCCTGTGAACTAAATATCATCCTTAGATGTATTTTTTTCTTTCTTTCTTTCATTATTTTATTTATTTATTTATTTGTATCATTAGATGTATTTAGGCTACACCGTGTTTTTTTTTTTTTTTTTTTAAGCTATTACTTTTTGTTTGTTTTGAGACGGTCTCACTGTCATCCAGGCTGGGGTGCTGTGGTGTGATTATGGATCACTGCAGCCTCCCTCTTCTGGACTCAGGTGATCCTTCCTCCTCAGCCTCCTAAGTAGCTGGAACCATAGATGTGCACCACAATGCTGGGCTAGTGTTTTGTATTTTTGTGGAAGTGGGGTCTCATTATGTTGTCCAGGCTAGTCTTGAACTCCTGGGCTTAAGCAGTCCACCACCCTTAGCCTCATGGAGTGCTAGAATTCCAGGCCTGAGCCACTATACCTGGCCCAGCCTTTTTAAACTGGGAGCTTTCATATGGAAGTTGGAATTTCTGGTGTCCGTTGACAAATGAGAGATGTGATTAAAGCCCCCATACCCATGGTTGACGGAAGTTAGGAAGCAGCTGCCCACTTTAGATGAAATCCAATCACACAGTGGCTGAAGGCTCACTTCAATTCCTTGATAAGCTCGATCTGTATTTTTGTTTTCGTTTTTTTCCCTTTTTTTTTTTTAGATGGAGTTTCACTCCTGTTGCCCAGGCTGGAATACAATGGTACGATCTCGGCTCACTGCAACCTCTGCCTCCCGGGTTCAAGCAATTCTCCTGCTTCAGTGTCCCAAGTAGCTGAGATTACGGTCATGCACCACCACACCCACATACTTTTGTATTTTTAGCAGAGATGGGCTTTCTCCATGTGGGTCAGGCTGGTCTCGAACTCTTAACCTCAGGTGATCTGCCCACCTTGGCCTCCCAAAGTGCTAGGATTACAGGCATGAACCACCACGCCCAGCTCGATGTCTACTCTTTTTTTTTCTTTTTGAGACAGTCTCACTCTGTAGCCCAGGCTGGAGTGCAGTGGCATGATCTCAGCTCTCTGCAACCTCTGCCTCCTGGGTTCAAGCAATTCAAGCCACTATGCCCAGCTAATTTTTTTTTTTTTTTTTTGAGATGGAGTTTCACTCTTGTTACCCAGGCTGGAGTGCAATGGTCAGATCTCGGCTCACCGCAACCTCCGCCTCCTGGGTTCAGACAATTCTCCTGCCTCAGCCTCCCGAGTAGCTGGGATTACAGGCACGCGCCACCATGCCCAGCTAAGTTTTTGTATTTTTAGTAGAGACAGGGGTTTTGCCATCTTGGCCAGGCTGGTCTTAAACTCCTGACCTCGTGATCCACCTGCCGCAGCCTCCCAAAGTGCTGAGATTACAGGCATGAGCCACCGCGCCCGGCCTTCTATGTGTACTCTTTTAAGAAAAAGAATTGAAGTTTATTTTTAATGTAAAATAAGTTCAGAAGGACATGGCCCAAGCCTAATATAGTAGCTGCACCATCAACAGTAACCCAGACATCCCGCTGTTTACTCCATCGTGTGTTTGCCTTCTAGTCTCAAGATCACCTTAAAGTACTGTAGGACTGCTGCAGCTCCTCCCATCACATCTACATTCCAGACAGCAGGAGGGAAAGGCAAAACTGGTGCATTCCAAATGGTGTATTTCATTGTAAAGGGGCTTCCTAAAAATGCAAACAGCTCCATGCCTTTATCGTATTGGCCACGTGACCACTTCTTGCACCCAAGGACGCTGAGAGGTACAGTCTATTAACTGGGCACATTGCCACCTAAATACAATTGTGGTTACTAAAAAAAAGTGGCAGATAGGTTTGCAGTAAGTCACCTCTGCCATAGCAATCCAAATTAATAAATTAAAAGAGGAAGTGGCAGAGGTGTTTGAACCAGAGCAGCTCCCTCTTGAATAGGAGCTGGGTAAGGTGAGGCTGAGACCTGCTGGGCTGCAATTCCAGGAGGTGAAGCTTTCTAAGTCACAGGATGACACAGGAGGTCGGCACAAGACACAGGTCATGAAGACCTTGCTGATAAAAGAACGCAGTAAAGAAGCCACTAAAACCCACCAAAACCACGATGGCGACAAGAGTGTCCTCTGGCGGTCCTCACTGCCACACTCCCACCAGCGCCGTGACAGTTTGCGAATGCCATGGTGGTGTCAGGAAGTTGCTCTATACGGTCTAAAAAGAGGAGGCAGGAACAATCCACCCTTGTTTAGCACATCATCAAGAAATAACCCATAAAAATGGGCAACCAGCCACCCTCGGGGCTCCTCTGTCTACAGAGCAGCCATTCTTTTACTCCTTCACTTCCTTAATAACCTTGCTTTCACTTTACGGACTCGCCTGAGTTTCCTTGCGTGAGATCCAAGAACCCTCTCTTGGGGTCTGCAATGGGACCCCTTTCTGGTAACAGAAACACATAAGACCTTCTCAATGGTGGAATAAGAACATTCAGTATGATTCAATACTCATTCTTAATGATACAAAAGAAGGAATAAAAGTAAGAAGAAAGAAAAGAACAAGGGAAGGAAGGAGGGATGGGGAGGGAGGGAGGGAAGGAAGAAAGGAAAGAAGGAAGGAATTAATTCAATAATAGGAGAAACTACACAGAACCTTACACACTCTTGTTTTGTTTTGTAATTCTTGCAGGTAAAAATTGCCTGACTCGGTGGTTCTCTCTATTCCAGTCTCTCTGCAGCTTAGCACTGGTAAACCAGATGCAGAACTTTTCTCTGGAGGACTTTCGGAAGTCTGGGGGTGGAGAAGGAAATTTGTTGTCAGAATGACTGAGGAATGCCATCAATATTTCATGACCAGGCCTGGAAGTTTTAACACCTTGCAGTGTATAGGACATCCCTGCCTAAAGAAAAAATGCTCTTCCCCAAATGCCAGTAGATACCTGTATTAGTTAAGGTTCTCCAGGGAAACAGAACTAATGGGAGATTTACATGCATAAATGGAAATTTATTATGAGGCATCAGCTCATGTAATCATGAAGGCTGAGACATACCATGATCTTCTGTCTGCCACACAAAGACCTAGGAAAGCTGGTGGTGTCATTCAGGTCTGGTCTTAAGGCCTGAGCAATGGTGTAAGTCCCAGTTTCGGGGAGGAGGGGGAATGGTGGGAGTGGTTGCTGAGAAGATGCCATGAAATGTGCCAGCTTGAGCAGTGAGGCAGTGGGGAAAACGGAGGGTGGTGGGGATGGGGTGCAAATTCCTCTTTCCTCCGTTTTTTTTCTTTGAGACAGTTTTTCTCTGTCACCCAGGCTGGAGTGCAGTGGTGGGATCTCGGCTCACTGCAAACTCTGCCTCCTGGATTCAAGCGATTCTCCTGCCTCAGCCTCTTGAGTAGCTAGGATAACGCACTACCCAGCTAGGCGTGGGTAGGCACGCACTACCACACCCGGCTAATTTTTGCATTTTTAGTTGAGATGGGGTTTTGCCAAAGCCATTTTGGCCAGGCTGGTCTTGAACTCCTGACCTCAAGTGATTCACCGGCCTGCCAAGGGCTGGGATCACAGGCCTGGTCTACTCCAATTTTTTTGGCCTACATAGGCCTTCAGCAGAATGGATGAAGCCCACACACCGGGGAGGACACTTGCTCAAACGAGTTCACGGACACAGATCTCATCTGGAAACATGCGCCTGGGTACACCTTGAAGCAACGTCCGATGTGGGCACCTGCTATGGTCTGGATTTGTGTCCCCACCAAAAACTCATGTGGAACTGTCATTCCCAATGCTGGAGGTGGGCCTGGTGGGAGGTGGCTGGGTCATGGGGATGGATCTCCCAGGAATGGTTTCGCACCATCCCATTGGAACTGTCCTGGTGAGAGGGAGTGAGTTCTCCCCAGCTCTGGGTGTTCAGAAACGTGCAGCACCTCCCCAACTCTCTTGCTCCTGGTCCCGCCATGTGAGATGCCTCACGCCCCGTTTGCCTCCTGCCGTGATTAGAAGCTTCCTGAGGCCTCCCCAGAAGCACAAGCTGTGGTGCTTCCTGCACAGCCTACAGAACCTCAAGCCAATTAATCCTCTTTTCTTTAAAAACTACCCAGGCTCAAGTATTCTTTTTTTTTTTCTTTTCTTCTCTTTTGAGACAGGGTCTCTCTCACTTGGGTGCCCAGGCTGGAATGCAGTGGCGCAATCTTGGCTTGCTGCAACCTCCACCTCCTGGGTTCAAGCAATTCTCCTGCCTCAGCCTCCTGAGTAGCTGGAATGACAGGTGCATGCCGCCATGCTTGGCTAATTTTTATATTTTTAGTAGAGATCAGATTTCACTGTGTTGGCCATGCTAGTCTCCAACTCCTGACCTCAGGTGATCTGCCCGCCTTGGCCTCCCAAAGTGCTGAGATTACAGGCTATGCCTGCCTTGGCCTCCCAAAGTGCTGAGATTACAGGCTATGCCCGCCTTGGCCTCCCAAAGTGCTGAGATTACAGGCCTCAGCCACTGTAAACGGCTTTTAGGTTTTTGGGGGGATGGAGTCTTGTTCTGTCACCCAGACTGGAGTGCAGTGGCGCAATCTTGGCTCACTGCAACTGCCGCCTCCTGGGGTTTAAGTGATTCTCATGCCTCAGCCACCCGAGTAGCTGGGATTAAAGGCATGAGCCACCACACCCAGCTATTTTAGTATTTTTAGTAGAGATGGGGTTTCACCATGTTGGTCAGGCTGGTCTCAAACTCCTGCCTCATGTGATCCACCCGCCTTGGCCTCCCAAAGTACCGGATGACAAGTGTGAGCCACCACACCCGGCATCGGGTCTTTCTTTATGGCGGTATGAGAATGGTCTAATACAGCACCCCATGTTCCCAGTCAAGCTGACACAGAAAATTCACTACAATAGGTGGTTAATTCCTCATGACTGAGGGACAAACATGGTGAATACCTTTTTGTTTTCCAAAACGGAAGTAATTCTCTACTGCTGGGCATGGCTTCCTTCTCCTCCCAACTGGCCTCTCCCTGGCCCAAGGCTTCCTAGGGCTGCATAACAAAGGACCAGGAACTCCTCCGTGGCCTAAGCCTGTCCTCTGGAAGCTCTGGAGGACCAGGAACTCCTCCGTGGCCTAAGCCTGTCCTCTGGAAGCTCTGGAGGACCAGGAACTCCTCCGTGGCCTAAGCCTGTCCTCTGGAAGCTCTGGAGGACCAGGAACTCCTCCGTGGCCTAAGCCCGTCTCTGGAAGCTCTGTGGGACAGAGGTCTGGGATCACAGTGTCAGCAGAGTGGCCCTACCTCGGGAGCCTCTTGTAGGGAACCTGTTAGTTGTATCTTTCAGCTTCTGGTGGTTGTTGGTGTTTCTTTGTTCTTTTTTATATTTTTTAAAATTTAGTTAGAGACAGGGTCTCCCTGTGTAGCCCAGGCTAGTCTCAAACTCCTGGTCTTAAGCAATCCTCCTGCTTTGGTCTCACAAAGGGCTGGGGTTGCAGGTGTGAGTCATGGGGCCCAGCCTGTCGGTGTTTCCTGACTTGTGTTCCATCACTGCAGCCTCTGCTTTCAGGATCACATGGCCTCCTCCTCTGCTGGAGCATCTCCTCCTGTAAGTTTTTTTGTTTTTGTTTTTTTTTTTGAAACAGAGCCTCACTCTGTTGCCTAGGCTGGGATCTTGGCTCACTGCAACCTCTTCCTCCAGGGTTCAAGCAATTCTCCTGCCTCAGCCTCCCAAGTAGCTGGGACTACAGGCATAAGCCACTGTGCCCAGCTAACTTTTGTATTCTTAGTAGCGATGGGGTTTTGCCGTTTTGGCCAGGCTGGTCTCAAACTCCTGGCCTCAAGTGATCTGCCCACCTTCCTTGGCCTCCCAAAGTGCTGGGTGTGAGCCACTGCACCTGCCCAGATGACTGCATTGATGAAGGCCCCCAGTCTCCTCATCTGGGGCTATTCTCCACCTTCCCTAACACTGAGGCTCTTTGTCCCTCTCTCCTGTCTTGATCCTTTTCTGCATTATAGCCACAGAGCAGTCAGCCCCTTCCCCCCAACTGGATAGTGACCTCCTGGTCTGCCACGTCATCTGTATCTAAAACCTCTGCTTGCCTGGGACAGTGACATGCCTGCATAAAGGCAGGCATCAACGTTTGCTGAGTTTCATCAAATCTTTAACTGTGCACTCTTATAAGATTTTATTCCTATAAGAATGCATTTCTGACTTTTTTGAGACAGAATCTTGCTCTGTCGCCCAGACTGGAGTGAAATGGCTGGATCTCGGCTCACTGCAATCTCTGCCTCCCAGGTTCAAGTGATTCATCAGCCTCAGCCTCCCAAGTACCTGGATTCCAGGTACTTGGGAGGCTGAGGCTGATGATATGCTACCACATCCGGCTAAGTTTTTGTATTTTTAGTAGGGATTTTACCATGATGGGGTTTAACCACGTTGGCCAGGCTGGTCTTGAAAACCTGACCTCAAGTGATCCACCCACCTCAGCCTCTCAAAGTGCTGGGATTAAAGGCGTGAGCCACCGCGCCTGGCCCATTTCTGACTTTTTAATGGAAGTCAGTTTTAGAAGGGGATTTTCTGGGCTGAAATTCACTGGTATTTGATTGGTCTGGAATACACCTGTTCCACAAGCTAAGCTATTCTGACATCTCTTTTGGGACCCATTACTTTACACGTTCATGGCTTTAGTTTACCCATTTGTAAAATAAGAAAAAAACTATAAAGAATATCATAGTTAATTAGTTCTTTTGATGAAGTCTTTTATGGTGCTCTCAAGTAGATAACATAAAAGGATACAAAATCAGATATGTTGTTATGGGATAACGTAGAAATCATTACTGAGGAGGGGAGCAGCACAACTGAAGTTGTAGGCGTCTCTCATAAGATTTCTCCAGATGCTTCTAATGGGAGAATCTTCCAATAAATGTAAAGCCAAATCTGCTTTTTGCTTTGATCATAGCGTTTGCTCAGACTATTTTTCTAGTTCCGAGTGCCAGGGAAAATGAAACTTTATTATCTACCCTATATAAAAATGATAGCATTTTCAAGAGAAAGCATGGTGGGCATACTGACTTTGGAAGTGGCTCTGTGATAAAAATCAACACGACATCTCTCCTTTTTCCCTTTAGAGCATTTATAAGAAAGGCACTCTGTTCTATCAAAGTTTTTAGTCTTCATACCATCATTGCTCCCTATAATACAGCAAACTATGAATGTTCTGTGTGTGTGTGTGTGTGTGAGAGAGAGACAGGGGGGTGGGGGGAAGAAGAGAGAGGGAGAGAGAGATACAGAAGGAGACAGGGACAGAGAGGGGTAAAAGAGAGGGAGAGAGAGATGGAGAGCGAGCTACATAGAGAGGAAGAAGAAGAGATGGAGGAAAAGAGAAATGCACATTTGAGAAAAGCAGGTGCACATGGAATTGTGGTTTGTTTGCCCTAGTTGTGTTTCCTTTTCCTGACTTTTATTAACAGCACTTGAAAGTGACCAAATGCAAAAAAAAAAAAAAAAAGAAAGAAAGAAAGAAAAGAATCTGTTAGTCTGGAAGTATCTAGCTCCTGCTAGTGTTGCTTAATGAACATGATGAAGTCAATCAACCAGAAATAAGTGATTTCTTCCCTTTGAGCTTCTGGCAAAAAATCAGGGTTTCGATTCCCACTGCTGTTCTGAAGACAGTGCAGACCCAATTCTTAACTTTGCAGCCCAAAGCTGCTCTTCACAAAGACTGCAGTTCCAGCAAAGGAGACAGTGAGCGTAACAGCGCGTGGCACAGCCGTCGGGATCAGACGCTTACTCAGGGATGACGGGCTCCCCGCGAACTGCTTCCAGTAGCAACCTGATGTGGCAGAGGTCCATATTTACTCTTTTCACATTTTAATTTATTTTTAATTAAATAAGTAAGATATGTTTAAGAAATGCAGATAAGCAAAAAAGAATTGTAAAAATCACAAAGCTTGGTGAGGTGGCTCACGCTTATAATCCCAGCACTTAGGGAGGCCGAGGCAGGCAGATCACCTAGCTCACCTGAGAGTGGGAGTTTGAGACCAGCACGACCAACATGAGAAACCCCGTCTCTACTAAAAATAGAAAATTACCCAGGTGTGGAGGTGCACACCTGTAATCCCAGCTACTCGGGAGGCTGAGGCAGGAGAATTGCTTGAACCTAGGAGGTGAAAGATTGCAGTGAGCTGAGATCACACCACTGCACTCCAGCCTGGGCAACAAGAGCAAAAAGTTGTCTCAAAAAAAAACCACAAAAATCCCGTTTCCCTGAGATAACCACTGTTAATATTGTGGCTTCAAGTTTTCCCTGACTTGACACGCAACCATCGCAACAGTCCACTTTATTGTGTGTGTACCAGGAACCTAACGTTCTTCTAAGCACTGTTCAGTGTTCTTCAATGAATCCTCCCACATCCTAAACTGAAGGGACTGTTCTCACCATTTCAGACAGTGAGCTGGAGACACAGGAAGGTTCGATGCCTCCCAGAGGTCATGCAGGCATTGGAAACACTTCACTGCTTCTTTGATTCTGCTGCGTGGGCACAGTATTCTCGCTGGTTCTTGCTCCGTTTTGTTTGTGTTTGTCATTTTTGGCACAAGAAATAGAAACACCCTACACACTTTTTGTATTATGCTGTTTATTACTTAATAACTGTGGTAGGCAAAATTCTAACAGGGCCCACTAGAGTTCCCATCCCTGGTGTGCACACACACCTCCTCCTGATTCCATCACATGTCCATCCGGGGGCTGTCACAGAGAGAATCTGCAGATGAGACTTAATCCCCAGATTAAGTGACCTTAAAATAGGAAGATTATGCAGGATGAGCCTCATCTATAATTGTCTCCTTGAAAGGACTGAGCATTTCCTCAGGTCGGAAAGATTCAAAGGGTGAGAGGGACTTGATGTCCGGGAAGTTCTCTACTGCTCCTCCGAAGACAGACAACTGCGTAATGGGGGAGGCAGGCCGGCTCTAGGAGCTGAGAGCAGCCCCCAACAGTCAGGCAGCAAGGAAGTGACCCTTCAAGCCATCTCCTCGAGGAACCACCTCCTGCCACAACCACGAAGCACGAAAGAGAGCCCTGACCTCCAGAAGAGATTTCGGCCTGGCCAACACTTTCATCTCAGCTTCCTGAGACCCTGGACAGAGAAGCCAGTCGTGCCAATGCCCAGACTTCCCACCTCCCGAAGCCTGTGAGCTCATAAATGGGTGCTGTTTCAAGCTGCTGAAGTACTGGTCATGTGCTACGCAGCAACAGAACAATAATATAATACTGTGTCATGAATACTTTTCCAACTCCAAATCCTCCACCTGTGGTACCATTTGAATAGCGACACAGAATTCCCGTACATGCGCGCACTGGAGTTGACTTCATCTCTGCCTTGGTGTTGCCCATCTGCGCCTTTTCCACTCATTTGGCGATTATACGCAACATCGTAATGAACGTTTTACTGGTAAGTCTGAGCAGACACTCTTTAATTTCTAGAAGTGGAATTGCACATTCAAAGTGTAAGCCCTTATGTTTTTGATACAAGTGACGCATTGTCCTCTGGAAAAGCTGCACCGATTTCCTTTCCATGGGTCACGTATGAGCACACTTGTTTCCCAGAACATTCCGACACGGGGTATTTTTCAGGTCAAGCAACAAACCATGTCTCCTCTTCTGGCATTTTAAAATGACTGCTGTAATTTGACTTTTTTCTTTTCATGAAAGGCATTTGAATTGTTTTCTGTGAGTGTGTATGTTTGTATTGGTTTGAACTTTTTTTTTAATGTTTAAGTTTTTAAAATTTGTATGGGTACATAGTAAGTGTACATATTTAAGAGACATGTGAGACATTTTGGTACAGGCATGAAATGTGTAATAACTACATCAGGGTAAAGGGGGTCTCCATCACCTTAGTCATTTATCATTTCTTTGTGTTATCGACAATTTAATTATATTCTTATTTTAAAATGTACAATAGATTGTTGTTTATTGCTGTGCCATCAAATACTAGATTTGTTCATGAGTTATTTTTTAATTTTTATTTTTGAGATAGAGCCTCATTCTGTCACCCAAACTGGAGTGCAGTGGCTCCATCTCGGCTCACTGCAACTTCTGCCTCCTAGGTTCAAGTGATTCTCCCTCCTCAGCCTCCCGAGTAGCTGGGATTATAGGCGTGCACCACCATGCCTGGCTAATTTTTGTATTTTTAGTAGAGATGGGGTTTCACCATGTTGGCCAGCCTGGTCTTGAACTCCTGGCCTCACGTGACCCGCCATCCTCAGTCTCCTGAAGTGTTGGGATTACAGGCGTGAGCCACCATGACCGGCCAAGATAAAAGCCATTTAAACTAGGGTGAGATGATTTCACATTGTATTTTTGTTTTGTTTTGTTTGAGATAGTCTCACTCTGTTGCCCAGGCTGGAATGCAGTGGCATGACCTCAGCTCACTACAACCTCCACTCCCAGGTTCAAGTAATTCTGCTGCCTCAACCTCCCGAGTAGCTGGCATTACAGGCGCATGCCACTGTGGCCAGCTAATTTTTGTATTTTTAGTAGAGACAGGGTTTTACCATGTTGGCCAGGCTTCTTGAACTCCAGACCTCAAGGGATCTGGCTGCCTTGGGCTCCCAAAGTGCTAGAATTACAGGCATGAGCCACCATGCCCAGCCTCACTGTAGTTTTGATTTGCAATTCTCTGATGATCAACGATTTTGAGCACGTTTTCATATACCTGTTTGCCATTTGTGTGTCTTCTCTCGAGAAATGTCTTTTCAGATCTTCTACCCATTTTAAAAATCAGATTATTCGAATTTTTCCTGTTGAGTCATTTGTGTTGTTTATATATGCTGGTTATGAATCTCCTGTCAGATGGGAAGTCTGCAAATACTGTCTCCCACCCTGTGGGCTCTCTTCACTCTGCTGATGTTTCCTTCACTGTGAAGAAGCTTTTTGATTTGATGTGTTCCCGTTTGTCTATTTTCACTTTGGTTCCCTTTCCTTGTAGTGTTTTACTCAAGAAACAGTTGTCCAGACCAATGTCCCGGAGGAGTCCCCCCCTGGCCTTTTTTTTTTTTAACACAGAGTCTCAGTCTCTCGCCCAGGCTGAACTGCAGTGCTGCAATCTTGGCTCACTGCAGTCTCCACCTTCCAGGATCAAGCGATTCTTCTGCCCAAGCCTCCAGAGTAGCTGGGATTACAGGCATCCATCATCATGCCCAGCTAATTTTTGTATTATTAGTAGAGACAAGGTTTCACTATGTTGGCCAGGCTGGTCCGGAATTCCTGACCTCAAGTGATCCACCCACCTCGGCCTCCCAAACTGCTGGGATTATAGGCATGAGTCACGACTCCTGGCATCCTCGGTGTTTTCTTATCGTAGTTTCATAGTTTCAGGTCTTAGATTTAAGTCTTTAATCTATTTTTATTTGATTTTTATACATAGCTGGTTGGAACTTTTTCTATCACAAGTGACAGAATGTCACATTTGCTTAACCAAAAATAGAATTTATGGACTCACAATTAAAATGTCTACTTCTAAAGAAAAAGCTACTTCTAGCTATGATCAGAATCAAGACTTGTAAACTGTCTTTTTTTTTCTTTTGTCTGTCACACAGGCTGGAGTGCATCAGCACCACCTCGGCTCACTACAACCTCCACCTCCTGGGTTCAAGCGATTCTCCTGCTTCAGCCTCCAAAGTAGTTGAGACCACAGGCACATGCCACCACTAGCCTGGCTTTTTGTGTTTTAGTAGAGACAGGGTTTCACCATGTTGGCCAGGCTGGTCTCGAACTCCTGACCTCAGGTGATCCACTCACCTCAGCCTCCAAAATGGTGGGATTTAAACTGTCTTTCTGAAACAAGTGTTTCCCTCATCTCTATCTCCTTCTGAAATGCTTAGTTCTCTGGTTCCACAAGATGTTCTCTGGCAACTCCAAGCTTATATCTCTTTACTATCAAACTCAATAGAAAAGAGAATGACTTCTTCCTGCTCATTCCAGAATACATTCTGGGATTAGTTCTGACCAACTTGATCACATGTCCATCTCTGAACCAATTACTTTATTTTCATTATTTTATTTTATTTTATTTTGAGATGGAATGTTACTCTGTTGCCCAGGCTGGAGTGCAGGGCATGAGCTCAGCTCACTGCAACCTCTGTCTCCTGGCTTTAAGCAATTCTCCTGGGTCAGCCTCTCTGGTAGGGGGATTACAGGTGTGTGCCACCATGCCCAGATAATTTTTATATTTTTAGTAGAGACAGGTTTTCACCATGTTGGCCAGGCTGGTCTCAAACCCCTGACCTCAGGTGATCTGCTCACTTTGGCCTCCGAAAGTGTTGGGTTTATAGGCGTAAGCCACCGTGCCCAGCCTGAAGCAATTAATTTGGCTCAGTAGATGTGACCCTGCGGATTGGACAGGCGTAGGTCAAATGCCCACTCTTAGGCTGGGGCATCCAGCGGCCCTACCTAAATCACAGGGGGCATTGATTAGCTAAGGAAATCCAGGTGCAGTCACCAGAAGGGACCCAACAAGAGTTGTCCTCGAAAGAGCCTGCTGCTCACTGTGCCAATTTTATTTGTTGGATGTTTATCTTTTCATAATATTCTTTAGAACTTGTTATAAAATAAGAACATTAACTTTCTCGAGGTTGAAGCAGGAGAATCTCTTGAACCTGGGAGGCGGAGGTTGCAGTGAGCAGAGATCGCGCCACTGCACTCCAGCCTGGGTGACAGAGTGAGACTCTGTCTCAAAAAAAGAAAAAGAACATTTACTTTGTCTTAGCTATAATACTTCCATTTCTTCTTAGTTGGTGTGCTGTCAACAGCAATTATTATTTTTTATACGCATAAGTTTTAAATCTTTATGTAGTCAAATTATTTTTTCCTGCATGCCTTCTGCCTTTTAGTGTTAGGCTTAAGAAGGCATTTTCACTCGAAGATTATATATTTGCCAATATTTTCTCCTAGTGCTTTTATATTTTCAGTTTATTCTAATATTTAATCCATCTGGAATTTATGTTGGTACAAAATATGAAGCCTATCTTCCCCCATGTTTAGTGATTCATTCCAACATAATTTGTTTAACAATGCATCCTTTCCCCGTGAATTGCTGATACTTTCTCTTTTTTTTTTTTTTTTTGAGATGTAGTCTCACTATGGCGCCCAAGCTGGAGTGCAGTAGCACAATCTTGGCTCACTGTGACCTCCACCTCCCGAGTTCAAGCAATTCTCCCACCTCAGCTTCCCGAGTAGTAGCTGGGATTACAGGTTTGCGTTATCATGCCAGGTTAATTTTTGTATTTTTAGTAGAGATGGGGTTTCACCATGTTGATCAAGCTGGTTTCAAACTGCTGACCTCAGGTTATCTGCCTGCCTTCGCCTCCCAGAGTGTCAGGATTACAGGCGTGAGCCACTACACCTGACCAGATCCCTTTATTATCAAATACTGAGATTTTTCTTTTTTTGCTTGCTTACTTATTTATTTATTTGAGATGGAGTCTTGCTCTGCTGCCCAGGCTGTAGTGCAGTGGTGCGATCTCAGCTCACTGTAATCTCTGCCTCTCAGGTTCCAGCATTTCTCCTGCTTCAGCCTCCTGAGTAGCTGGGATTACAGATGCCTGTCACCATGCCCAGCTGATTTTTGTATTTTCAGTAGAGACAGGATTTCACCATGTTGTCCAGCCTGGTCTGGAACTCCTGACCTCAGGTGATCTGCCCAGCTTGGCTTCCCAAAGTGCTGGGATTACAGGCATGAGCCACCATGCCAGGCAGCCTTTCCTTATTATTATTATTATTTTTGAGACGGAGTTTCACTCTTGTTGCCCAGGCTGAAGTGCAATGGCACGATCTCAGCTCACTGCAATCTCTACCTCTCGGGTTCAAGCAACTCTCCTGCCTCAGCCTTCTGAGTAGCTGCCATCTTGGCCAGGCTAGTCTAGAACTCCTGACCTCGTGATCCACCCACCTCAGCCTCCCAAAGTGCTGGGATTACAGGCGTGAGTCACCACACCTGGCCCATTATTATTTTTAATTGACATAATAATTGTACATAATTATGGGGCATAGGGTAGGATTTTAAAACATGTACTCCTATGAGAACTTCTTAGCTTCCCCATGGGTGAGAACGTGTGCTCTGTACCTCTCCGTGCCTGGCTTATTTCACTGCATGCAATGAGTTATTTCATATTAGTGCTTCCGCTCCTTCTTTGTATTTATCTTCACTGATCTCTCCCGTAAGGCCTAACCTAGAAAACAAGTACACTTATAATTACCAATTAACTATTATATTATTACAATTTAGGCTAAGATTGCTTTAAGGAGTTGTGAAAGAAGTGGCTAAAAGAGGATATTAGGTGTGGTCACACCATCTTGCACTTCTTGCAATAGAAGAAAGCAGAAGTTCATTTTCTTTCACTTTCTCTCTTCACCTCCCTGCTTCTATTGGCAAAGCCCAACTTTTGCAAATGTCTTGGGGGTTTTTTCAACAGAGGAGGAAAAGTACCCAAGAAATAGACATTGCTACGCACAAGGGTCAAATAAAGTGAGTGCCTGAAACAAGTCAAATCAGAACCAGCTCCCTGACCATCCGCTCTCACATCCTGTCAAAAAAAACGCAAATCATGCTGGGAGCTGAACCGGTTCATACTAAGGGTAAGTTAGTGTGGCTTTGGTTTAGGCTCAGGGACTGAACACCTGATTCTGTTCTGTTGGTTGCCTGTGTTTTCATTGATTTTGCTTTCTATACCTTCTGCTTCTAACAAGATTATTTGTAGCCAGAAAGAACTGCTGCAACAGCGACTCCTTGAAGTAAACAGAATTTATGCCAACTGTGACCCAAGGAGATTCGGAAGACGTTTGACATGGCCTGTGGCTGCACCATGGCTAATGACTTACGCTGTGGCCAGATGCACGAGGATGAGGGGGCCCATGAGTCCCTCCCTAGGGAACTGGGAAATCCGGAGAAGCTGAATTACTGGCCGTGAGAGGTGCGGCTGAGCTGAGCTAAGGCTGAGCTGTCGTGACTCAGGGGCAGGTGTTCAACAGCTGTTTGTTGAGTGAGTGAGTGATGTACAGATGGCACAGAAAGGCTATGATGGCTGCTTGTAAGCCGAAGTTTTGAGGAAGCTGAAACTGTGAGTAAGGAGAGTCAACTGTCTGGCAGCAAGGCGAGAGCAACTCAATAGAGATGTGAGACAAGACACAGAAATGCCATCACACAGCCAGAGGAGCCAGGCAATCCCCTGAATGTCCTGTCTCTGATGGTTTCTCAATTCATTGCCTCAAATTGCACCCGCTGGAGCCCTGCACTGGGTGAGGCTCAGGAGACAGGGTGGTACCAGAGAAGGGAGACTCCTCATACTTCCAAGTCTAGTCCATACCACAGGCACCTTTGCAAAGAGTGCCCTTTCCCCTCTTCCAGAGGGCTCCTGAGGTGAAGAGCCAACAGACAAAAATGTGTTTTGGAAGACACAGTTACCTATCCCTTAGATGCCTACTGTATGGGTTAGGTCATTTATTTATTTATTTATTTTAGCTGCAAAGGAGAAACTCATAGGATCACTTTTTGGGGCAGGAGTATATTGCAAGCACACCCAATAAAGTGGGAGGAACGGCCTTACGTGAATTCGTTAGCGATACCGTCACTGGGGCTCAGCACAGGGGCTGCAAACTCAATCGTTACAGGAGCCAGGCAGAAAACTCATGGGTCCAGCATGAGAAAAACATCAGGATGCCGTTCTTTTTTATTTTATTTTTTCAATTTTTTGATAAAATTATGAGAGGTGGTTTTTGGCTACATGTAATACAAATAACAGAAAACCCAACAGTGACTTAAACAATGTAAGACTTACTATTATCTCATGCTCCCCGAGTCTTCTGTGCCAGCCACCAAATTAGTCTCATTCTAAGCCGGTTCATGGTTGCCAACAGCCGTCAGGAGCTTTAGAGCTACAGGCTTCCTGACTCATGTCCGCTTTGGGAGCACGCGTGTCTATCAGTCACCGCATACGTGTCCTTTCCTCTAGTCTGGCTCTCTAGTCTGACTGGGTCAGCTTACTTCATCTGTCCACTCCTGGACCAGTAACCACAGGCGCCAGGTACATTTCATGTCCCGAAAGGTTAGAGTCTGCATTCCTCAACTAGTCACCATGAAGCGGCATGTGACTAGTACTGGTGTTGACTAGTTCCATCTGGGAACAAGGATGAAGTCAGGTTCTCCTGAGCTAGACGGGAAGCTGGTGGGGGCAGGCGTGGGTTGAGGAAGACGAATACCTGAAGAGAATCAGGATTCTGTTTGAAAAACAGTATGTATGTTGGTTAATTAGTCAATCATACCCATTACATTTTAGTATGGAATGGGGTTGCTGGCCGGGTGTGGTGGCTCATGTCTATAATCCCAGCACTTTGGGAGGCCGAGGCATGCGGACCATCTGAGGTCAGGAGTTCAAAACTAACCTGGCCAACACGGTAAAACCCCACCTCTACAGAAAAATATAAAAATTAGTCTGGCATGATGGCAAGTACCTGTAATCCCAGCTACTTGGGACACTGAGGCGGAAGAATTGCTTGAACCTGGGAGATGGAGGTTATGGTGAGCCAAGATGGCTCTATTGCATTTCAAACTGGGCAACACAGCAAGACTGTTGCTCAAAAAAAACAAAGGGGGGGGATTGCTGATAGAAATTACTGCAATGATGGTGTGAACTAGACTATGCTGTCCAGTATGGCGGCCAATAGTCACAAAGCACTTGAAATCTGGCTACTGTAAGTAAGAAACAGAATTTTTCATTATATCTAATTTTAACTAGTTTGAATAGCCACACATAGGCAGTGGCTTCTGCACTGGACTGTGCGGATATGGAGAATTTTCTCCATGATAAAAAAAAAACAAGACAGCAGTCGGTGGGGGAGGGTTAGGACAGCTAGAAAGTGTCTGCCATCTACAGACAGTGGCTGCTGCTCAGTGTCAGCAGATTGTGGCTATGGGGGGGCAAATGTGTTTCCATTACCTGTTGCTCCATGACAAACCACCCCAGAATTTAGTGGCTTAAAAGAACAACCATGTTACTTGTTTATAATTCTGCTATGTGGGCTGAGGCTCAGCAGGGTCTCAGTTCTTCCGCTGGTCTTGCTGCTGGTAATCTCTGTGGCTGCATTTAGCAGCCAGGTCATCTGGAATGCTGAGAATCCCCTCTCCATAGAGTTGCAGACTCCTCCTCAACATATGATGGAAGGTAAGTGGACTTCTAATATCATGGCTCAGGACTCCCCCAGTCATGAAAGTGGAAGGTGTCAGACTTTAAGGCTGTGCCCAGACCAGGCCTAGAGACACTTCTGACATATTCTCTTGGTTAAAGCAGGTCATGGGCCAAGCCCTGTGGCACTGTGATCTGTGAGGAATACATAAATCGAATACCCTGGGGCATGGTTCAAAGTGGTGGGATCCTACTAATGTAACAGGTAATCACGAGTCCAGCATTGCCAGAGCTCATATTTATTTTCCCCAAATAGCAAGGTAAACAAATTTACACATGAAGCCTTTCAAATTGTAACTGTTAGTTTGCTTTCTTTTGGTACCAGCTTTATTGAGACATATTTGCATACTATTTAATTCACTTATTTAAAGTGTAGGATTCAGTGGTTTTTAGTACATTCACAGAGATGTGTACATCTTCCCCTCCCCTCCCCCGGAACCAGGAAACTGTACTAATCTGCATTGTCTACATGGATTTGCCTAGTACCTATTCTGCCATTGCATATAAGTGTGATCTTGCAATATGTGGGCGTGATCTCGGCTCACCGCAACCTCCGCCTCCTGGGTTCAGGCAATTCTCCTGCCTCAGCCTCCCGAGTCGCTGGGATTACAGGCACGCGCCACCATGCCCAGCTAATTTTTTGTATTTTTAGTAGAGACGGGGTCTCACCATGTTGACTAAGATGGTCTCGATCTCTTGACCTCGTGATCCACCCGCCTTGGCCTCCCAAAGTGCTGGGATTACAGGCTTGAGCCACCGCGCCCAGCTTGCTCCATTTTTTCTTTCTTTTTTTAACTTGGCTTTAGTCTTCTTCTCAAATGAGGCAATGCAATGGGATTAGTTTGCTATCGTCCAGAAACGGCCCGTGTATTGAACACTGTTTGGACACTGGGTTCAAATCATTTTCTTTGCTTTCATTCCATGTTTAACGTTCATTTTATTTTAGACTTTGCCTGGGTGTCAGTGCTATCAGTCTTAGAACAAATACTCAAAGATTCTGTCTCATCTACCAATTGCATCTACCAACTGCCAAGTGGAAGCAGCACTGGACTCATAATTAGATATATGCCTTTCATTGAAGTTTGCATGCTACTGCTTTCTTATTTTACTTTTTATTTTGAGATAGTCTCACTCTGTCACTCCGCTGGAGTATAGGGCGCGATCTTGGCTCATTGCAACCTCCACCTCCCAGGCTCAAGCGATTCTCCTGCCTCAGCCTCCTTAGTGGCTGGGATTACAGGTGCGCACCACTGCCGCCCGGCTAATTTTTGTATTTTAAGTAGAGACGGGGTTTCACCATGCTGACTAGGCTGATCTCGAACTCCTGACCTCAAGTGATCTGCCTGCCTCAGTCTCCCAAAGTGCTGGGATTACAGGCGTGAGCCACGGCGCCACTGCACTCCAGCCTGGGTGACAGCGCAAAACTCCGTCTCAAAAAAGAAAATTGGTGTGTGTGTGTGTGTCTATGTGTACATGTTCAAGGACATATATTAGGATCCAATAACAAGTTAGGATCCTAGTATATGCCCTTGAACATGTACACAGACACACACACACACACATATATTCACATGTACATACACATTTATATATACACATATCCACATATCTGTGTGTGTATATATACAGATACGCACATACATGCATATATATGAGAACATAAGGTGACTTGCATCATTTACAGTCAACAAATGGTCAGTCATTCACTCATTCAGTTAACTTTACACCTATTTATCATTGGCAAGTGCTGTGCTAGCCTCTAGAACTCTAGTGGTGGCTAGAACAAAGATCCCGCCATCCCAGCTTTGAAGACAGGCATTCAGTAGTTACACAGAATGAGTATAAATTATAATGGATGCTGTGGGAAAAAAGTATAGGGGGTTCCAAGGCCAAAAAAAAAAGGGGGGAGCAGATCTAGTATGGCAGAGTTAGAAAAGTGATATTTGAGCTGACAGCTGAAAATGACAAGCATCAACAGACAGGTGGCAAAGGCCCAACTTGGGCATTCAATTATTCTCTAATGAGACATTTATTAAATATGGTGCCTGCTGTGTGGCAGCACTGGGCTGACCATCAGTCTATCTGTCGGACATTTAAAACAGTTTTTAAAAAGAGAATGCATGCAACTCTGAGACTTACTGGCAGGATGGCCTCTCCAGATGACCTACTGGCTAGTCAACTTCCCAGGTACTGGCTCCACCCTAGTCTTAGCTGGAGATAAGGATGAAGGAAGAGGTGGTCTTACACTAATTGAATCATTGCAGCAGCTGTAGGTCCGGATTCCTTGATTGCTTTTGTTTGTTTGTTTTTTGAGACAGGTCCTCACTCTGCCACCCAGGCTCAAGTGCAGTGGTGCTGTCACTGCTTAATGCGGCCTCCACCTCCCGGGCCCAAGCGATCCTCTTGCCTCAGCCTCCCAAAGTGCTGAGATTATAGACGTGAGCCATCATCCCAGGCCTGGGTCCCAATTTCTGAAGCCATGCTGAGGGCTCTTTTTGGACGGCACTCTTTCACCACTTTGTGCCAGGCACTGTGCCAGTGGCAGAGGGCATAGTGAGGAACAAAACACAAGAGAATCCTGCCATCAGGAAGCTTACACCTGTGAACACATGCACGTTGGGGAGACAAATGAATAAACTGAAAAGGGTAACAGGTAATAGAGAAAGAGTAACATGATGGAGTGGGGTACTTGGGCCTTGGATGAGCTGGTGAAAAAAACGTTTGCTGAAGTCAATACTTGGGTGGAAGGTTGAAGGATGATGAGGGGCCAGCCAAACAACGACGGATGGTTTAGGGGCAGTCTCTGGGAAAGTCAGAAACAGGCTGGAGCTTGCCGTGTTCTAAGCCGGTGATTCTCAGTGGGGGCGTGTTTGCTCCCAGGGGTCCTTTGGCTTTTCGGTTGTCAGCCTGAGGTGGTAAGGGGTGGAACTGGGCATTGTGGATACAGAGGCCGACGCTGCTGCTGAACGTTGTGCAATGCACAGGATGGTCCCGTGGCTCAAAATGCCAACGGCGGACCCGGTTGAGAAACCGGGTCTTCTCCAGGACTGAACGCCAGGGCAGGAGCAAGGGGGCAGCTTGAGCAACCCCGCCTGGAGAGCACCCTCTGTTTCAGTGTGAGTCTGGGCCGCCTACTGGGCCCCACTGAAGCCCGAAGCCCCAGACGGGCCAGGCTCCTGCTTCTTTGTTTCATCTCCCTCAGTCTGCGTGCATGTAATCCCAACACGCTGGGAGGCCGAAACGGGAGGATCCACTGATGCCAGGAGTGCGAGACCCCGTCTCAAAAAACTGTTTAAACATTAGCTGGAGGCAGTGGCGAGCGCCTATGGTCCCAGTTACTCGGGAGGCTGAGGTAGGAGGATCGCTTGAGCCTAGGAGACTGAGGCTGCAATGGCGTGTGACCGCAAGACTGCACTCCAGCCCGGGCGAGAGCAGGAAACCTGTCTCAGAAAAGCAAAAAGACACCCTCGGCGGCCAAGCTCCAGGATGTCCCGCTCCCGCAGCAACTCGGTCACCCGGAGAGCCCGCCATCTCCTCGCCCAGCTTCCGGGGCGGGGCAGGAAGTTCCGGCGAGTGGGGCGTTGAGCAGCGGCGAGCCCGCCCAATAGGGACAGCCCA